TCATCATGGTTATATCATTAGAGGATTTATGTACTTTGACACTCATTTTGACATATGCTCAAAGACTCGTTAGGTTTAAAACAACTTTGCTTGATTGACAATATCTACATCTCATGTATATACGAGTGGCTCGACCTTTCATATGGTTTCTTGAAAAATTATCATCTTAATAACCCCCAACGGGCATGCGATATTTGAATTGTGAATCACATCCTTCTTCCGGTTAAACTCATGAAACAATTGCTTTATTACCACCATCTTTTCCCAAATAGAGAAACATGCCGATTCTATTATTGACTCGACAAAAACACAAAAAAATTACTTGGAACCCTAAAAGAAATGTAAAAATATTGGAATTTGTATTTGTAAAACATAGCATACTATCCAGCCATGTAACTATTATCAATAGTGCGGGCTCTCTTTAGAAAGCTTATTGTTATTCCACCACTTCGAACAATATGTCGTGTAAGTCAATTTCAAGTATGATCAAAGCATAAGAATCTCAATCAAGTGAAGATGTGAAACTCGTTAAGAACGAACTTTCTTTTTTTTCTTTTTTTTCCCTTTCCTTTCTCCTCAAGAAAGAACTTCTTTTTTTTTCTTTTTTCTTTTTTCTTTTTTTCTTCCTTTCCATTTTGTCTTAATTACTCACCAAAATATCAAGTCGATCTAGGTAAAAAACACCTGAATTGTTGTTAAGAGCATTCTTAAGTACTTAAGAAGAGCTAAAGATGTTTTCCTAGTCTATGAAAGAGATGAACTAGTGGTGAAAGGGTTCACAAATACTATTTTTCAAACTAACTATAATAGGATCTATTATGTATGTCATGTTGTGTACGTAGTTTGATGTCTCATATGCTTTGAGCATATGTAGTAGATATCAAGCTGATCCAGGTGAAAAATAATAGATTGTTATTAAGAGCATTCTTAAGTTCTTAAGAAAAATTAAAGATGCTTTCATGGTCTATGAAGGAGTTGAACTAGTGGTAAAAGGGTTCACAAATGCTAGTTTTCAAACTAACCATGATGACTTTAAGTCACGGTTAAGATTTATTTTTCAATTGAATTGTGGAGATGTTAGTTGAAAAAGTTTAAAGTAAGAAATAATGGTCGACTCAACAATCAAGGTTGAATACATTGCAGCCACGAAGTAGCTAAGAAAGCTATCCGGATTCGTAAATTTCTATCTGGATTATAAATGATTCATAGCGTTATTGATCCAATAGTATTGTACCGTAATAACAACGAGTTATAGCACAAGCTAAGAAAGCAAGGTCTTATTAATGGTCTAAACATGTACTACGACACTATCATTTGATTAGAGAGATTATTAGTCGTAGCGATATAAAGATAGAAGAGGTCCAAATTGAACCAATTGACTAAGCCCTTGTCATAGTTAAAACATAAGACCCTTACTCAATCATCGGGATTAAAGGTATGGTTGGTTGGCTCTAGTACAAGTGAGAGATTATTAGTGTAAGTGCCCAAGATCCAATAATATTTAGATAGGTTTGAGTTATTATATAATTGCATTATTTATTTTATTAATAATAAAAAAAATCTTTCTATTAATTCTTATTTTTTATATTTATTTATTGAATAGAATTAGATAAAAATTCATATGATATGCATTTACATTAGTGATTGATCGAAAGATGTGAGATAAACATTAATGAGCATAAATAATATCATTAAATGTCTCAAGTCGTAGTATTATCAAGAATGAATATTGACTATATGTGGTTAGACTTATGAGTACTATACTCTTACTATATAATAGTAGTATGAGATCTCACACCTATTGGCATGATGATATCAAAGCAAGTACTTAGGTGATTAATGTTTAAAAACATATAACTAGACTTAACTCGTTATGAGAACCCATTTGGTTTAGTCTATGGAAATCTTATATGAGATGGATACAATTGGTTCTTAGACTTAAAGTTATCACGATTATCTCATTAGAGGATTTATGTACTTTGACACTCGTTTTGATGGACCTAGTAAAGAGTTGCACATGGATAATTCATTAGGTACACTAGCAATCTAATAGAGGTAGATGGATAACTAAGATAAGACATGTCATTCTTTATATGCTAAAAGCATTATCACATTGTACTTCGAAGAATGCTCGCTCAAGAAATATGTGGCCATAATAAAAGTATACCAATAGAGAATAGTCGGTTTACTCTAAGAGCTAAGACATTTAGGAATCAAAGAAAACTTATGTGATCATAATTGAACGGATCGAATAACCAAGTTCGAGATCATATTGTGAGGAATTGACATGAGGAGTGAACTATATGGTAACCATATTTGTGAAAGATAATTACATATTAATTAATCCTTCTAGAGAATTGGATATTCATAATGTCTTGCTAGAGATTAATCTTGATTTATATATCAAGAGATAAAAGATGTGTCTTTTATTCTTAATACATTGCCAATATATCTAGGAGTCTATTGAGTCACACGCATAAGTATAAGCATTCACATAATAAAAGAGAAGCAAATATGTTGAAAAAAATTTTCAATTTTGAAAGTCTCCTATTTTGAAAAAGGTTTTTAAAAATGAAAAGTTTTTTATTTTAAAAATTAGTTTTCTAATTTAAAAATCAATTCCAAATTTGAGATTAAATTACCTAAAAAGGAAATTAGTTTCCTAATTTAGGTTTAAGGGTAATTTGAGAAATTTTTTCCTAATGTAGACCTTTTAAAAATATCCGACCTAATTTATTTGGATAATCCAAATTAATTAGTAATTAATTGGGCCAAAGAAGTTTGGGCTAATAAGTTTAATTAAAAAGCTTGCAAGATATTTTGGTGAGAGAATAAGTATGAATGTTTAAAAGGATAAGATAAAAAAAACTCACATGCATAATAACTTCCAATCCTTAGAGGATTAGGAAGAACAACCAAGAGTCCTTGAAGGACTCATTGTCACCCTTTCCTTTTCGTTGGAGGACAAGAAAAACACTCACCTATATACATAGAAGGAGAGGAGGCGACAAAGAATTTATAGAAAAGAGAATACACATGATAGGGCTACACGACAACAAATAGCATAGAGAGAAAATAGTTTTCTCTCCCTAAAAATTATGCCACCTCTCTTTCTTCTCTTAGGGTTGTCGCATAAATTACCCTAAATAGATTTCTAAAGAAAAATACAAAACAAGTCGGAAAAGATAGAGCTAACACTCTACTAATTTTGAGTGCTTCTTATGTGGGTGCTTAGATTGTGTAGATTATCAATAGAGGTCGAAAGCTTGGACAACTCCTTTTCGCAAAGGTTTAATTCGTGTTACAAAAGGTAATTCTTTATTTATGTTTTAATTCATGTGTGTGTGTGTGTGTGATTAGTTAATTCAACGACATGATCTTGAGAACTTTAGATGGAGAAATTTTTTTGTTTTATTATGCTATTCCATAGGATGCATAATCCTTCGATTTGCTTATTAATACGGTTAGTAAATATTTACAATCTAAAAATATGGACATTGTTGTTGCAAAAGATCACTTAAAAGGTCTTGTTTCTTTTTCTTTTTCTTGAAAACTATAGAGCAAAACGGTTTACATCTTCTATGATTTCTTCTAAAGAGATTGCGGATTAAATGAATATAGAACCAAAATTGCATGAAAAACATACGATAAAGATAAAAAATAATTTGATGAGAATGAAAACGAAAAGATGAAATTGTACGCCAAAGAATCTTTTAGAATAAATTATTTTACATATTTAGTTGATCATGCCATTTCCTCACTTCAAAGCGATTTGAACAATTTAAAATATATGAATATAATTTTAGTTTCCTTTATAATATAGAAAAGTTAAAATTGCTTGATGATGATAAGGTGAAGCAAAATTATTTAAAACTCGAAAAATTTCTAAAATATGGCATATTCTATGATATTGATGGTTTAAATTTATTTTTGAAATTAAAATTTTTAAATAAAATTATAAACGTGAAAATTAAAACGCCACTTGAGGTATTAGATTTTATAAAAAAAGGTGATTTTTTTTTCAAATGCATTAATAACTTATAAAATACTATTACTTATTGTTGTTATTGTAGCTTCGAGTTGAAAGAAGTTTTTCAAAATTAAAATTAATAAAATCTTATTTACGTTCAATCATAAAAATAAAAAATAATAAGTAATTTGACTATATTATTAATTGAAAAAGATTTGATTCCTAAACTCGAGTAAAAAAATTTAATTAGTGATTTGTTTCTCAAAAAACAAGAAAAATAATTTTTTTAATATGTGTTTATATTATAAAGGACCATTAAAATAACTATTATCTAGTGCCACAAATATTCTGGGGGCGGCCCTGAGTTAGAACAACGAATTAGGGGTGGGTATAGCTTTAGGGTCTAGCCAATCTTCGTTAAATTAATAACCATCCAACAAGATTCAATCTGTTTGGTATCATCAAGACATTCCTACTCTACCCCCAGTGGGATGATATCAGTATCACACTCGTTTTCATTTCTTTGCAAAATTGGACCTCAGGTCAACCATTGACGTATAGGAGCACAACAAAGGAAGATCAACTCGTTTTCTCCATTTGATGCCTCACTTTCCTTCCCAAATTCCAGTACTGCCCACCAATATTTATATAATAAATTACTGATAACTGTTGTCACTCTAAGATTTTGACTGTGAGTTTAATACAAAACTTTCACCCTCCTATTTTCACCCTTTATGATGCCAAACCTGTATATTATAAAACGAAACGGATCTCCGACTTCAAAGACGGCAGGAGCCCATAATCTTCTCAAAAACGCTCAACCCCCAAATAAAACACACTAATCACAAGCCCATTTCTGTAAATCCACTCTCTAGTCTCTCCCCCACCCCACCCCCCGACACACACACACACACACACGCACGCACGCACAAACACACACACACAGCACTCTCTAAGCATCAAACCAAGAGCATCATCAGTCAAAACCCAAACGAATAAGCCGAGGCCAAAGCCTCAAAATTTTCAAAGAATGCCAGACCCAACACAAGTCATCAATCAGAAGACTTCATCATTTCCAACAATCCTATTTTCTTGTCTGATCATTCAACCCCTCCAAATTTTTTCAAAAAATAAGCAGATCTTCAGTTCCATTTTTGCCCTCTTAGCCCTCCCCATTTCTCTCCTCCTCTTCTCTCGCTCCCTGTCTTCTCACCCAATCCAATCCCAAATCCTCCACCTCGAATCCATCGCCGCCCTTTCCTCAACCCGTTTCGAAGCCCGCCACGTCTGGAAAGAGTCTCGCGAAACCGCCATCGCGCTCCTCCACCTCAACATCCTCTACTTCATACCCTCTTTCACTCTCTCCCTCATCGCCGCCGTCTCCTCCGTCGTCTCTACTGAATCGGGGTATCACAGAAACCCCACAAGTTTAAAGTCCGCTGTTATCGCCGTTAAGTCCATGTGGTTAAGGACGTTAGTTACTTTTATTTTTGTTTACGTTATTTTGTTCTGTTATTCTAGTGTGCCACGTACATTGTGGGTTTTAACAGGAGAAGGGAGTTTCGGGTCGGGTTTCGTTATTTGGGTTGTCGGGTCTGTTTGTAAGATTTATTTGGAGGCGGTTTTGGGGATGGGTTTGGTGGTTTCGATTTTGGAGAGCAGGTTTGGGTGGGATGCAATTTGTTTCGGGTCGGATTTGATGGAGGGGAAGCGGGTTTGTGGGTGGGTGTTGTCGGGTTTGATGGGTTTGATTACGGGTTTGATTGGTTGGAAAATGGAGGAGTTGAAGATGGACGGCGAGGATATGGTGATGGAAACGAGATGGACGGCAGTGATGGTGTTGAAAGGGTGGGATAGATTCGGGCTGGTAGTGCTGTATGGGGTAGTAATGGTTTGGGGTTACGTTGTTACTACTGTGTTTTACTGTGAGTGTAGAAAACGACATGCCGTTTGGGAAGCAGGGGATGGAAGTGTTTGATGTTTGATTGACAGTGAGTGGTATAGAAAGGAGGTGTGTTCTTGTGTTTGTGTTTCGATTATTCTTTTCTGAGAAAATGTGGATATAGATTTCTTCCCCTTTTTTTTTGGCCCCGATGGCAATACGACGTCATTTTCTTCGGAGGTCAAGTTCAGTCAACTATTTTTTTAATTTGAGTTTCAACTAGTTGAAGGGATTAGGGAATTCTGATAGTGGTCGATAGAGATTTTCATGGTCAATTTTGTGGACTTGTGAGCTAGCTTAAGGGATTAGTCCTTATCAATGTTTTCATTGTTACCAAATGGCAAAATGCCACGTAATTGACTTCTTACTAAATACAATCACAAGTTATTTTTCACTGCAAAGCTTAATGTTAATTGAATCCTAATTCAATTCCAAGCACAGTGGCATTGATACGTTACTTTGTAATTAAGAATCCCCCATTAATATTTAATTCTTGTTTGACAAAAACTAAAAAGAATTGGCAGAATTTTATGAGCTCCCTTCATTTGGGTTTGTTTCTACTCAAAAATTCAGTAAGTTAAAAATATATTTAGAATCTTGAATGCTTTTGGTTTTGGGTGGGTGTAACAGCACTAGCTAAGAAAAGCATAGGACTTGTGAGGGCAAGTGTGCTGCAAGTTATCCCCTTGAAAAAATAATATTTTCCTTGCGGAGTGTGGGCCAGTGCTCCCACTGTGCCTTCGCGCCTGTCCACATCTCCTTCCACAATTCGAATAATAAAACTTTCCAGGGGGAGATTGTCGTCTTGTTGGACATCTTGCGATATGTTTATTAATTATTTGTTTTCAGATTTAATGATAAATTTTGTTCCTATGTTACAATTTGAAAATTTTATATCCATGTTATCGAATTTAATAATTTGAATATCAAAATATTAAAAATTAAATAAATATAATTAAAATGATCTAATATCCGTTATGTGTAATGGTCAATTACGTTAATCGTTACTTAAAACATCAAAACTACGTCGTTTTGATATTTTGTTATTAATTATCTTCTAAAAAAATATTTTTAACTTCCCTAATTTTGATTTTTTTCTAATAAGATATTATATTTTATAAATATTTTTAATTCCCTAGGTTTGAATTTTTTTTTAATAAAATGTTATTATAAAAGAACATAATTAACAATACAAAATTTTAGGCCTTAAAAAAACATTTCCTAAATTAAAATAAGCATAATTAAAGATTGACGCTCCTAATTTTTTAAAAAAATTATAAAATATTTTTGATATTTTATTAAAAAAAAGTTAAAAAAATTCAAAATTAAGGGGTTAAAAATATTTATGAAATATTTTATATAAAATTTATAATATTTTATAAGAAATTGTTTTTAAAAAAGTTCAAGATTAGGGGGTTAAAAATATTTTTAAAATATTAAAAAACATAATTAACAGCGGAATGTCAAAAAAATGTCCTTTTAGCATTACAAAAAACAATCAACCTAGTTGACCATTGCATATGATAGAGATTTGACAATTTGAATCACATCCGTCCAATATTTAATACTATAGGGTTCAAATTACGTGATTTGCTATTATGAGTTCAAAATTATCAAATCGTAATAGAATGGATTTAATAACAAAATTGCTCTCATTCTATTGTGATTTAGTAATTTCGAACTCATGATATCAAATTATGTGATTTGAACCCTAAAGTATTAGAGATTAGATAAACTTCTTCCAAATTTTTCAATCTCTCGTTAGTTGACTAGTACTTAGAATGTTAAAACGAATTGTTTTCTACGGTTAATTATGTTTTTTTAAAAAAATATTTTTAACCCTCTAACCTTGAACTTTTTTATAAATTTTTTCTTATAAAATATTATAAATATTTTAACCCCCTAATTTTAAAATTTTTTAAATTTTTTTATAAAATATTATAAACATTTTATTAAAAAATGTTTTTTATAATTTATAAAATTTGGATCCTTAATTATGCTCGTTTTAATTTATAAAATATTTTTTAAGGTCTAAAATTGTGTGTTGTTAATCGTGGTTTTTTACAATGACATTTTATTAAAAAAAAAACTCAAAATTAAGAGGTTAAAAATATTTATAAAATTGTTTTATATAATTTATAAATTTTTATAATATTTTTTTTAAAAAAATCAAGATTAGTTCACATTTTCTTAAAATATCAAAACGACTTTACTTTGACATTCCCTTGTTAATTATGTTTTTTTTAAAAAAATATTTTGAAATATTTTTAAAAAAAAACATAATTAACGGAGGAATGTCAAAGTAAAGTGGTTTTGATATTTTAAGAAAATGTGAACTCAATTAATCGTTACACATAACATAAATTAGATAATTTTGATCATATTTGTCCAATATCTAATATATTAAAGTTCAAATTTCGCAATTTAGTACTATAGGCTCGAAATTACCAAATCGTAATGCAATGAAAATAAAATTTATTATTAAACCAAATAGAATGTGAGCAAAATTTGTCATTAAACCTTAGTTTTCACCTAAACTAAGTTAAACTCTATATCATAATGATGTATATTAAATATTTTTTATTTACTCCTAATATTAGAATGAAAAAGAAGAAAATGCCTTTAATATGGGATAAATCCTTATATGTTAAGGTCCTTGAAATTATTTAAAAAATTATTGTAGTATATCATTTGTACCATGCGTCATTTATATCCTTATTATTTTTCAATTACCTCATTTCTTAATAAAATTATTAAATTGTCTCATACAATTTCTAATATATGTCCCAAAATTCGAGAATGGTTAAACATTTTAACTGAATATGTAATGAGCATTTAAAAGACTTTTTTAAACAAAATAATTCATAGAAATTAACACCCAAGAAGAAAGAAGGAAAGAAGCAGAAAACCCATAAGGTGAAGATTGAAAGAAATGAGGGGAAAAAATATGAGAGGCAACAAAATCCAAATCGAAAAAGTTCATTCCCAACGGCAACACAAACACCCAGACAGAAATAGAAGGAAGAAGGAAGGAAAAACGAATCAATTCAAAATGTCTCCTCTAGAAAAAGCAACCCCATCTGCAGATGAAAGAAAGAAAATGATGGGGATGAACAGAGAAGAAATTCAAGATTGCAGAGCATGAAATCTTTGTGACAGATGAAAAGGAAATTTCGAAAGAGAACCAGGAAACCCACAGGAAAAAGAAGAAAAGAGAGGTAAAGAAGTAATAGCCGAAAACCACTTAATGGCATAAACGAAAATTAGAATAGAAAAAGGAGGGCAAAAAAAAAAAAAAAAAAAACAAAGAGCAAGAAGAGATTTGCAGATGAAGAAGGAAGCCTGTGAATAGACGAAGGGCAAGAATTAATTATAAAAAAAGTGAGCAAGAACAGCGGCGAAACAAAAAAAGGGTGCTTGTAAGCAGTTAATTCAAAGTACCAGGTATCTGTGTGAACATTGTGGTGGACAAGGGTTGAAGGTTTTGTTTTTGTTTTATAATAATATTCATTCATTATATAATAAAAAAAATTACATAAAATTCACAAAATTATTGAATTGGCACTTATTTTTTTACAGGGGAACCTTGTTTATTATTTTATCTTTTTCTAAAACGTTTTTTTACTGCAAGGGTATTGCAGGTTTAATGATCTTTATTAATGTTCGGTAAGGTACATAGAACAAGTATAATTTTTTGTATATATAAAAATTTTAATTTCTGCATATATAAAAATGTCAGTTAGAGATCACTTATTTCAGTAATTAAAACCTATTCTGTCCAATCCAACACTCTTGGGCTTTTTTTAACTTCTTTAAATGAATTGATTCATACCTTCTTTAGAACTCTAATGATATTAAAAAAAAAATCTTAATCAAAAGATTTACCTTAACTATATTTCCGTGTAACTCATACTCAGTTGGATCGTCAACTAGCTAAATAAATAAATGAGCAAACGAACATTGTCGGTTAGGCAGTTGTGGTGGTAGGTTACTTCGCGCTCAAAAATCCTTTGTGTTTTTCCTGATGTCGTTTAATTCACACCCAAATTCCCATACGCAAGAATAGCAAAACAAAGAACCCAAAAAGTAGAATTATGTGAAAGACGGAAGAATTTCGATACAATCTGAGGTCGAACCATCGTTCAGTTGGCCGATACGTCTTAAGACCTCGATGTGGGGCTGTTTCGCCTGACCGAATCTCATAAAGAGTAATGTTTTGAATGCTTTATTTATTCTTAGTTTAGTCGTTTTCGATTTTGTAAATTCCTTTCTAATTCTTCTTCTGGAAATTGAAGGTCGGGAGGTAAAACTAAAGCCTTCTCGGGGGATTGATTTTGCTATCTCTGGTTGTTTCCACATCTTTTTCTTTCGATTTAGATTTTCTTTTACTTGTAATTTATGCTGTACAATTGAAGGGCTGCAGGAAAATTCAAATGTGAAATTGATGGAAGCAGAATGGCCATGCCTGACCCAACCGAAGCAAACCGTTATTATTATATCTTTAGTTGGATTAATCTCTTATCTTAATGTTATTGCTACATAAATGGTTTTTAATCAAATTAATATATGCTTTCCTCCCTTGTTTTGCTCACAAACCACAAATAAGATAGACCTCGTTTGTTGGAGTATCTTCAGCAGTATAAACTGCTTGCAGAATTGGCATTAATTTACTACAAGACTGCCAACAACTTGGTTTGTTTTCTGTTTCCCATTTGTTCAGTTATTGATTTTTATAATAGTTATGAGTCTGTAATAAACTTTATTAAATCTTGTTCTTTATAGGATGTTGATTTCGAGCCTATCGAGGTTGTCGATGTCATGTCTCTGCATATTTGGGCCTCGGTTTTAAAATCTACTTCGAGGCCAAGCCTAAAATTTGTGATTCATCTATTGTAGACCCGTCTTCAAAGCCATCTGTATCCAAAGTCCACTGGAGGACATTTCCCAGAAACAGGATTAGTGTATGTAATCGTTCTCTTCAGGACCAAGATCGCTCTGGCATGAGAATCCAATTCATGTATATTTCTTTCTTGCAATGGTTTAATTTTTTTTTTTTAATAATTATCATTATCATTCACGTCTCCTTAAGATGAGATTTTTCCCCCCAAATAGATTCTTTTAGCTTCCTCATGCTAATATTTAAGTTGATTGTTGTATTCTAAATGTAATATGAAAATATAAATATCATTCTGATTTTTTAATTTTTATTCTTTTTTTTTTTTAATTTTATTAAGGATAGTTGATTCCTGATCCTTAAGACAATTTGTTTGATATGAACAATAATATAGATAGTTAGGATTCAAGTTTCTCCTTTGTAACGAAGAAAAGAAATAACGTGTCATGTGTCTGAATTGTGTTCTGTAGCTTTTCATTATTGTATAATCTTGTTAGAGTCAGTTGTTGAGTCAGCTAACAAGTAGTGGGCTGTAGTTTAACTACCCACTCTTTAGTTGCTATTTTCTTGCTTTAGTGGTTAGTCATGCTTAAGTTGTAAGATTATAAATTCTACATTACATTGGCAATAGAATATAAAAGAAAATTCCAAAAAGCTACTGCTTAAAACATTCTGTCTGTAATTCCGTTTTTTGTTAATCTTGGTTCATGACAATTTGAAGGACAGGTGGAGAGCTTGAGTGTAGATTAGGAAAGGCTTCTCAAACAGTATAAGGATTTCTTTATGGACCTGTGCAAACTAAAACAAATAGGTGCCGTTATTGGCTATCAAACTCAATTTGAGAGGCTCCTCTCTCACGCGGGCACGCTCACTGACAAGCAAGAGACCGAATATTTTATTAGTGGCTTTAAGGATGGTTTGCGAGCTAATGTAATGGTTCAAAACCCACATACAGTAACTACTGCAATCTGCTTGGCCCGCACCTATGAGACTAAGTCCCAAGAGTAGCTCCACAATCCCTGTCTTCTCCTTTGGGCCGCAACAGCCCACAATGGAGCCCAACATCCACTGGAGGAAATAAGGGCACATAACTAGCATTTTCCCTTTTCAATTAAGCGTTCTCTTCTAGTATGCAAATTTTCCCCAGCAGGACTCCGATGACAACGAGAGCTCGGCTTGTGTTACAATTGTGATGACAGGTACACTTATGGCCACATACGCAAAATGCTATTTCTTATCGAGGCCGACGATGAATCCTCCTTTACCGAGGCTGTGGAAGAAGACCACCAACACTGTGGAAGGGATGACACACCAGCCATCTCTTTACATGCTTTGGTTGGGGTTCAGTCTCCTCAAACCATGCGTATACAGTCCCAAATCGGTAAAACTCCCCTCACAGTTCTAATAGATTCTGGTTCAATCCACAATTTTCTTCATCACAGGTTTACGAAATTGGTTGGCCTTCGATTGGTTCCTGGTGGTTTACTTAATGTGGCGGCCACCAATGGTGGAAAATTGTCAAGTCCAGGCCGTTGCAATAAGGTTCAGTTGACATTGCAAGACATCACTATGGAAGTAAATTTTTACTTGTTATCCTTAGTAGGGTGTGATTTTGTCTTGGACGCACAATGGTTGTGCACACTAGGCCCAATCCTATGGGATTTTAGCAGGATGCAGATGCAGTTTATTCTCAATAAGTAGAAGGAACTGTTACATGGATCTCATTCCTCTAGGCTCATCGCTCTTAAGGGAGAAATCCTTCCTAGAACACTGCGGTAAGGTCAAGGCAGAGTATTTATGCTGCAGCTCTATGCCATACACTCAAATCAGCTACTACAAACAGCTCCTGAGGCAACACCCAATCATGAATTGGCTTTCTTGCTAGCTGAGTTTGAAGATTTGTTTGCAGCTCCTATAGGGCTACCACCACAACGCACCCACAACCATACAATTCCCCTACAACCTGGCATTGACCCACTTTGTGTTCGTCTCTATCGATACTCGCATTTCTAAAAACAAGAAATTGAGCGACTGGTGGAGAAGATGTTAACTCAAGGAATCATACGACCAAGTCAGAGTCCTTTTTCCTCTCTAGTACTGTTGTTTAAAAAGAATGATGGAAGGTGGTGATTCTATGTCGACTATACGGCACTCAATCGCATAACAGTGAAGGATAAGTTTCTAATTCCAGTTATTGATGGGTTGTTGGATGAGTTACACGGTGCTAAGTTCTTCACAAAGCTGGACCTTCGGTTTGGATATTTTCAAATCTGAATGAATGGAGGGGATATCTCCAAAACAGCCTTTCGAACTCACCATGGGCATTTTGAATTTCTTGTAATGCCCTTCGGGCTCTCTAATGCTCTATCTACTTTTCAGTTGCTCGTGAATGAAATTTTCAAGGCTCAGTTGCGGAGGTTTATCTTGGTTTTTCTTATGACATTAGTATTAGTATTACATTACAAAAAAAACTAAATCAGGTGATTTCACTGTTTGAAAACTATTCATCCCCATCCATTTGCATTGTGACTGTGGGCGCACTGTTCTAATCCTTTTTTCCTATTTCAATTGTCCATTTCCTGCAATCCCTCCGGTTGCCTCTTTGCCTGTCGTTCATTTCCACCTATTCTCTTATTTTTTTCATTTGTTTATTCATGACACTGAGTTTGTTTACCATGAATTATTTGTGCCCTTTAGTAGTTTGTTTAATTACTTGAATACCATTTTGTCCTCCTACCTAGTTACCTTTCTGCCCTCTTCTCCTTAGTCTTTCTTGTTTTTCTTTTTATGGCCTTTTCGTCAGTTTCTTATGGTCTTTCTTGAAGTTTGCTTCTTTCATTTATTGAGATGTTTTCCGTCAGTTTATCGTTTTATTAGCTGGGCTATCCAAAAAAATATTAATGAGTAGAAATGAAAGCTTTTTTTTATTCTACACATGTATTAAAAGATATATATGGAAATAGTTTTTCTAGAGTGTGTACTTTGTAATTGCCTTCTAGAGTTTTAAACTCTGCCTTCAATAAAAAAAATAAAAAATTAGTTGATTAGTTCTTAATAAATCAAGATTCCAAACCATATCACATTTTTTCTTGCAATAATAAAAGACAAATCGAAGCCCTTAGCAAAGAATTTTTGGAATATATATATATCATGCCTAATTACACACATAGGGGTTTTTTACTGTTCACGCACTAACAAAATACTATTCATTAGATGATATTTTTAAAAATAAAATCAGTGGCATTTTAGTTATTTTAATTGTTTTTAAAGCATTTAATACATATAAAACAGGTCCTTTTATTGTACATTGGGTGGTTTTTTTTTGTAATTTTGAAGTTTTTTCAGATATTTTATACATATTTTTTGCTCATATTGTTCTTTTATCTATTATTTTTTTAATAATTTTTATTTCTATCCATAATTTTATTTGTATTATAATCCGGTCTCCGACGGCTAAGAAGAGAGAGAAATAAAGAAAAAGAAAGGAGAAGAGAGATATCTATTTATAAATTTTTAAAATACTCGTTATTTACTCTTAATTTTTTTTGATATAATTTATATATGGATTATTTTTTTAATTTTTAAATGATGGTAAGCATTGTTATATATGTGTGTGTGTGTGTGTGAATTTTTGAGATACCTATGTATAAATTTTTAAAATATTGTTATTTGCTCTTTTTTTTTATATATAATTTATATATGGATTTTTTTTTTAATTTTTAAATGATGGTAGCATGGTTATATATGTATGTGTGTGTGTGAATTATTTGCTTTTAAAAAATTATATAATGAATTCTTTGAATTTTTAATTTTTAAATAATGGTCGCATGTTATATATATATATATATATATATATATATATATATATATATATATATATATATATATATATATAAAAGATTAGGTGTGTTTTTTTTTAAATAATTTCTCTCAAATTTTATAGGAAAAAAAATTATAAGAAAAGTTTTGAGTTAAAAATTCATGGACTTTTAAATTTGCTTACATGATTTTAGTTAAAAATCCGGATATAGAGGAATAAATCATGTTTATTTTATCAAAAAATTTATTAAAACATAATGAATAATTAGTTAAACGAAAAATTAAAAAAATATTTTTTTATCTTTGATTTGGTATATTTTGATAGATCTACAATATAGCACGGACCATAAAATTAAAATTATTTTTTTAAATAATTTTATATGTTTTATCCGATGCATGACAAAGCACGGGTAAATAACTAGTATATAACTAAATTAGGTGATAGTTTTCCTGTTCTAACACTGTTCACATACATCCATTGGTACTATAGACTTAGCCTCCATGCACTTTCAACTCGTTTGTTTATTCTTTGCTCTACATCTACCGTTGACTTCCTCTATAAATTGCTCTTAGTCATTTATTCTCTCTTGCAACTACTTTTCAGGAAGCATCAATTGATTGTTAGTGCCCTTCAGTTGTTTGTTTGATGCCATTTTGTCCTCCTACTAAGTTACTTTTCTACCCTCCTCTGTTTAGTCTTTCTTGTCTTGGCTTTTTTCGGCCTTTCGATCGGTTTTTTTAATCCTAGGTAGCATTTAATGATCTCGTCTTGGAGTTTGCATCTTTTACTTATTTTATATTGACACTGAAATATTTTGTCTATCCTTGCATAAATATTTAGCCAATATTTTACATTTTGATCCTCTTAGTTATTACTTTATATAAACTAGTTCTTAATTTTAATTAATATTATAGAAAGGTTCTTTTAATTTTTTTGAAGGACTAGTTTATTTTTTCATTAATTATTATTTAATCAAAATAATTTTTTTCATAAATAATGGTTACCTTTTCTATTTTTATAAATATTCATTAACTAAAATTAAATATCCTTCTAATATAGATTGATTAAGCACCACCCTCTAAGTTGATTTTTTTTAAATAAATAATTAATTACATTTATTTTTTATTTATCAAAATAAAAAATATTCCTAAGATATATTTAAATTCAATTACACACGAGACACACACACACGATGACTTGTTAATTAATTTTTATTTTTAAATTATTTAAAATATTAAAATATAGATATAATTGAATATATATATACACACACACACACACACGATGAGTGTTAATTAATTTTTATTTTAAATTATTTAAAATATTAAAATATAGATATAATTGAATTACTCGCAACAACGCGAGGGTATTGAGCTAGTCTTAATCTATAATCTCACTCTAGTTAAACATGAAAAGTATGTCGGACTTGTATTTTTATTTTGAGAGCTCATCATCTTGCGGTAAAGAAAGAGAAATGCTAATTCGATCAACTTCAAGTTCAATAATTGGGCCATATCATCTGTAAAAATGGTATGCAAGTAGATCTAGAAAAAAAATAAAGTCTGTGGTGGAATAGCCAAAACCCGGTACTATCAAGGCTTTGCGAGGATTTTTGGAACTAATTGGGTATTATCAAAAACTTATTGTAGGTTATGGAAAAATTACAGCACCACTAACAACCATATTGTAGAAAAATGCTTTTTCTTGGACTCTAGAAGCAACTATGACATTTAAGATGTTGAAGCATTCCATGACCCAAGCTTCGGTACTAGCATTACCCAATTTTGATCTCTTGTTAATGTGATGCATCACTAAATGATTTGGGAGTCGTCCTCATGCAAAACCAATAATTGATCGCATTTTTCAGTATCGTCTTAAAAGGATAGAGCCTCTTATTGTTGACTTATGAAAAGGAGTTGATGGCATTGGTACTAGCGGTTAAAAAATTGTGACCATATTTATTAGGACGTTATTTTGTGGTATGGATAGACCGAGAGAAGCCTCGAATTTGTGTGGGAGTAGTGGATCACTATTGAACCACAATAAAAATGGCTTATCAAATTGATTTGCTATCATTTTTCAATTGAGTACAAAAAGGGAAAGTTTAATGTGGCATGTTGATATGGGGCTCGCGGGGTGAACACAAGAATGTAAGTCACCACCTAACTAATCGAGAAAAACTAAGAAACACTAGACATACTGATCTACAAAGATATATGGGTAAATGATTGGTTACGTATAAGAAAGATATAACATCATCGTCATCCCATCCTATCTA